TTTAGTTTACAAAAACTGTCCTCCTTTTCAAGCCTCCCAAAGGGTGTTAAGGGAGATGAGGACCAGGCAGTGGGTTCAGCAGAAGTCACAACAGAACAGTTCCTAAGGGGACTTGTGGAGAACCTACATGTGGGCCAAACCCACAGAGAGACCCAGGAAAGAGAAGGCAGAGACAGGCAGTACAGAGAAGAGTGGCCATGAAGGTGAATCAAAGTCCACATGGCAGAGCTGCTTTTTCATCCCCAGTAAAGGCAGTGCTGGGATTTTTGAAACCTCAAAATGTAATGATTGAATAAATGACTGTAGGACCAAGTGGCCTGGGTTCAATGCTGTCTGGGACCCTGCCTAGTCAGAGAAACTTGAGCAAATCACAGGACTTCTCCATGCCTCACTCTGCTTATCTGGAAATGGGACAGTAGCGCACCAAGCCAGCACTCCACAGGCATAAACTTGTGGAATCCTCACAGTACCCCCGTGAGATGGCAGCCATCATTGGCACCAGCTTCCAGATGAGGAAACTGAAGAAAGAGAGGAAGTGAGTTTTACAAAGTCACAGAGCCCAGAAGAGGCAGCATGGTGGCTCACGCAATCTGGTGCCAGGGTCTCTGTTCCTCTGCCAAGCTGTTTCCCCTTGGCACAAAGATAAAGCAAAATAAGCATTTAGGACCAGGCCTGGCACACACAGAGGCCCCCCAAATGGGTGGCAATCATTACCTTTTTTATTGCAACAGTCTTCCCTCTGCCCTTCTGCGGAAATTCTTTTTCTTCTGTCTCCAGCCCCTTCCTGATGAGGATCCTCAAGAGGGTGTGGGAGCCTTCAATAGGCCGGTGCACAGAGCAACTGCCCACTCAGGAGACACGGAGGCCCCTAAAGAGGCCTGCTTGGTAACAGGTGCATGCAGTTACCCAAGGAGATAGCATTGATTAACACATTAATAAATAACGTGGCTATTAAAGTCAGTCACAGAGGTGGGAGATAATTACCTTGGACAGGAATGGCCTCAGTCTCTTGTATGAGCTGCCTTCTCCACCTCCTTCTCCCAGTAAATCTTCACTGAAGGTGCTCTTTGGCCCAGTGCTGGGCCTGAGCCTGGGAGGCAGGAGCCCTGAGCCGGGCCTGTGATGAGAACCAGAAGACCAAGGGGCGGCTGACTCCCAGGGGATAACCCGGTGTCCTGACGCCAAACCCTGCAAGAGGAGCCTCAGGCATTTCATCGGTCAGCTCTAGCTGGGTCACACTGCAGTGACAACACCAAACCTGGTGGCTGATGACATCAAGGTGACATGTTGCTCTTGCTGTGTCCTTGCCAAGGTGCAGCCAGGGCCCTGGCCTATGGTGCTTTTCTCTCTGCCATCCAGGTTGCAGGTGTGCCTCCACCTGGAACACTCCCCCAACCTAGGACACACCCCCTGGAACATGCCCCCTCCTTGGACACGCCCTCACCTGAAGCATACCCCTCCTGGGACATGCCCCCACTTGGGACAGCCTCCAGGACATGCCCTGTCCTGCAATATATCCCTCCTGGGACTCACCCTCTGAAACATACACCCACCTGGGACAGCCCCCAGGACACCCCCCCTCCTGGGACACGCCTCCTCCTGCATCATGCCCCCCCTGCTTGGACATGCCCCCATCTGGAATACACCCCACCTGGACCATGCTCCCACCTGGAACATGCCCCCACCTGGACCATGCCCCCACCTGGAATACACCCCACCTGGACCATGCCCCCACCTGGACCATGCCCCCACCTGGACCATGCCTCCACCTGGAACATGCTGCCTTACAGGAGAAGAAGAATAGAACAGCATGGAGCTCTGACACTGTCCTCAGAGCACCTGCTCAGACGTGGAGCGTATCTCCTGGCTCCCCCACAACCCTTCACGTGGGCCCATCTCCAGGTAAACCTTCTCACAGCTGCTCTAGGTCAGTGTATTTGTGTCCTGGGGCTGCAGTAACAAAGCACCACAAACCAAGTGACTTAAAGCAGCCAAACTTTATTCTCTCACTGCTCCGGAGGCCAGACATCCAAGATCAAGGTGGGAACAGGGCTGGTTCCTTCGGAGACTGTGAGATAATCTCTTCCACGTCTCTCCCAGCCTCCAGGGTTTTGTCGGCAACCCTTGCTCTCCGCTGGCTTGAAGAAGCATCAGCCCCTCTCTGCCTTCACCTTCCTGTGGTGTCCTCCCTGTGTGTGGGTCTGGGCCCGCGTTCTCCTTTTGGTAAGTATACCAGTCAAATTGCTTTAGGGGACCCTCCTACACCAATACAACCCCATCTTAATTGATTACACCTGCAAGCACCTTATTCCAAATAAGGCCACATTCTGAGGTCCTGCAGGTTAAGACGTCTACGTATGAATTTCAGGGGGACACAGTTTACCCCATAAAAGTCTGTAACTTGGGATTTGGCTTCAGACTCACCTGGGGGTCACCCCTAGTGGCCAAGGGCTTGCTCTTCCTATGGCTGTGACCCCTCAGCCCTGCTCCACCCACCCTGCCTCCCTTCCCCGCAGGAGTCTCCCAGCAGCTGGCGTTTGGCTCAGAATCCCAACCCCTGCCATCTGCCATCGTATCCTCCAGTCGCCACCTGCCTCCTACTACCTGCTGTGGCCAGACCTGTCCCTGCAGGAAGTGAGTGACATAGTGTGAGAAGTCTACAGACATGGGTTCAAATCTCAGCTCCTCCACTTAGAAACTGTGCGACATTGGGCAAGAATTCTACTTCCCTAAAGGAAGTCCTGCCAGCACAGGGCAGCTGAGGCTTCAGCAGGGTGGTAAGAAGCCTCAAGGCCTAACACTCACCTCCTCCTCTTCCTGACGGTTTGCTAACCTCCCAGGACTGACAGCCTTGGTGCATCTAGGCTTAAGAGCCTTTGACCCTTCCCTAAACACACGGGAATATTCCTGAGCTCCTGCTGTGTGCATGGCAAAGCCCAGAGCAGGCTCTTTCTCTCCCACTTCTGACCACATCTGGACCAGCCATCAGGGCCCTGTGGTGTTGGAAAGAAAGGAGGAGCCTTTGTCTGAGAATCTCATATGTGTTGTAGTATTGAGTGGCCGTGCACACACGTGCACAAACACACACACACGTGCACACATGCTCTGTCATAGCCCGTTTCCAATCAGTCAACACTTCCTCCTCTCCAAGCCACAGCCTTCCTAGGGCAGCCCTGTCCCTGCCAGAAGCCACCCCCTACCCAGGACGACTGAGCACTGTTTAATCACCCTCAATCAAGAGTGTGACTCCCACAAAAGGACGGGTCGTATATACACACACATTAAAAGCAAATGAACTTCCATGATTATTGTTCTCAACATAATTATTATGGAAATTAGTGATCATGAGCTGCCCGGAGCCCCATGCTGGAACCCATGTGCAGCCTGGCCTCAGCTCTGCCAGGCCCTTCTCCCCACAAGAACCAGGCCCTCGGCTCCAGCCCCTTCACCCCTCACCCCTCCTCTAGCCCCTAGACATTTGGGGCATTGGGCGTTTTGCCCTGACTTGGAACAAAACTCATCCTGGCTTCCATGTGATGAGTACTTAACACCAGCCTGGGCGGGAGGAAGGACCATCGTCACTCCCATCTTACAGAAGGGGCCAATGGCCCTGGGAGGTCAAATAGGTGCTGGGGGCAGGGCCCAAACTTCTGTATTCACCGAAGACATAACACTGTCATCTTACCCCAGGGCCAGGGGCGGAGGAGGCAGAGGTCGGACCCTGGTGCCAAGGAAAGGATCATCAGAGACTATTGTCCAGGGATGTGCTTCAAACCCACTAGTGTGGCCCCCGTCTGGCCCAGGCCCCTTCACCTGAGCCCGTGGATACAGTGACGCCACCTAACCCTGCCTCCAACAACACATTAGAAGCCAATGGGCCATTCGTTGGTTTCTGTTTTTGTTTTTGTTTTTTGCTTTGTGTTTTCCGAAGGCCTTCAGCTTTGTTTATTGCATCCCCACCTGCAGCCTGGAATCTTTCCTGGGGGACCTCCTTGAGCAGGTTCCTGGGCTCTGAGGCCAGCCGCTTAGTGGAGACACTTCCATGTACCAGCACCTGCCACATGCCAGGCACTGTCAGGACCGCCCCTTGAGGCAAGCATTCAACCCCTACCTTCCAAAGCAAGGGTGAGGCCGAGCAGGTGACTGACCACCCAGAGTAGATCACTGGGCGATCCAAGACTGGGATGGGAGCTGCCTCTCTCCACTGTCTGGGCCTTTCCACCCTCGTGCTCCTAAGACTCAGGCTCCTGAGACCATAAGATGCCACCACCCTGGCCGATGACCTCCACGCCTGGCCAGCCCTTCTTGGAGTCCTCCCTGGCCCCAGGCCAAGGCTGCTTTGCCAATCCCTTTCACTTTGTACTCACCGACCTCAGCCTCCAGAGGCCCTGAATCATTCAGTTACGAACATCTTCTGGATGCTCATAACCACATATTAGGGCTCTTTCATCCCTGTCCAGCCCTGGAACCCTGAGGGGACTTCAAACTCCTTTCCAGTAACCTTTGACAAGGCACAATTCCTGCCACCCACGTGCTTGTCTCAGCTGGAGCACGGCCACTCACTCTGGGATGGAGAAGCCCGGGTGTGGGGTTTTAACCACTCACTCGCTGTTCTCCATATCCCTGGGTGGCCAGTGACCAGGCGTCCGGCCAGAGCTGATGGCTGAACCCTCAGGCTCTACCCAAGGCCAACCAAGCCTTGACTTTGGTGGGAGAAGAGCCCACGGGTACACAGGGCTTTGGCTGACCAGGAGTGGGGCTGGTGGGAGGTGGAGGCTGAGGACCCCGGGCTGACAGACCTCCACCCTCCCCTCACCCCACCACGAACTCAGTGGGAATGGGACCCCTTCACCCCACTAGGAGCTTGGTGGACATGGGACCCCCTCACCCCACCAGGGGCTCGGTGGGCATGGGAACCCCTCACCCCACCAAGGGCTCGGTGGACATGGGAACCCCTCACCCCACCAGGGGCTCGGTGGACGTGGGACCCTTCCTGGGCCCAGCAGGGCATCTTGGTTGGTTTCTTTAATTTGTTTATTTTCAGAATCTTAGGTTCCCAGCTCCCATTCGAGCAAGCAGTGCTGAAGGAATGTAACCTTCTCCTTATCACCTGCCTCTCTGACAATTGCAGAGCTGTGGTCCTCGTCCCTTGAAGTCCTGTGATCAGATGAGCTGAAGGCTGCACAGCGAGTGGGCAGGGCTGGCCGCATGGGGGTCACAGTGCTCCCTCTCCCACCCCAACACACTCCCTGCCACCCTCTCCTGGGGAAAGGAACGCAGCTTAGCCAGGACCCCCAGGCAAATGCCCCGTGGCCCCAAGCTCTTCAGTCACTGCTGGATGATACACAGGGAGGCAACTCTGAACCAAGGGGCCCTCTAAGGTGTTTGTCCAGCGTGGGCCTGAATTTCAGACAGACGAAGACCCCACCCTGGGCCTCCAGCAGCAGCAGAGGGTGGGGCTTCCATCCTCTCACCCCACCCAGACTTGGCACTACTGCACAGGGCAGCCTTTCTGGCAGGGGCAGGAGGCAGGGGAGGGGACCTGCAAGGTGGGGAAGACCTGTCTCATCAGCTCCACCTCACAGCTGTGGGGCAGAGGCTCACACTGACTGCAAAGCCAGCCTCTGCTGAGATCGGCCTCTCCACTCCTTCTATAGCAAATTCCGAGACTCGGGGGCTCCAGCCTGGTACTCTCCTGAGGGAGGCCCCAGTGTCCACATGTGCGGCACCCACCCACACCCAGGCCAGTCCCATCCACCATGTCACTCCCGAGTGTCCTCCCTCTACCCACACCCAGGCCAGTCCCATCCACCATGTCACCCCCGAGTGTCCTCCCTCTACCCACACC